ATTAATAAAATTTTTAAAAATAATTTTTTATAAATTTTTAATTGAAAATTAATATTATAAAAAAAATATTCTTATAAAAATTAACTTTTTTTTTTTTGGAAAGCACCATCACCGTCTCGTGCTTCATCAATATAGGACGAAGGGGTTAGAATTCTCCTACCATGAGATAAACGAATACATGGAGGGAGGCAAAAACCTAACTTCAATTAAAGTCATGAAAATTGAAAACAGTTAATGAAGATATACTATCTCAGGTAAAAAGGGTTAAATTCACAAATGGATACTCAACTTTATATTTCATATCACCATGNATTTGATTTTATTTCATCATAGCCTCCCAATTGCATATAACGTTTCACCATAACCACTCAATTTCATAACATTTCAGTATAGTGACTCAACTTCTTCTCACCATTTTCATTAATTTTAAAATGAATAAAACGGTAATTTTGTATTTTATATATATGATAAATTTAAAAAATAAATATTTTTTTATTTCAAAAACGCTTATTTTAAAATAATTTTTTATTTTATTTTATTTTTCTAAGTAACTTTTTTTAATAAGTTTTTATTTTTTAAGTAACATTTTTAAAAAAATAAGTTTTTATTTTATTTTATTTTTTAAGTAACTTTTTTTAAATAAGTCTTTATTTTAATTTTTTTTTTTAAATTTAGTATATATACACCGTTTTACTCCTTTTAAAATTAATGAAAATGATGAAAAAAAGTTGGATGACCATGGTGAAAAGTTATATGAAATTGGGTGACCATAATAAAATAAAATCAAATTGGTGGTCATGATGACACTAAATATAAAGTTGGTGATCATGATGAAACAAATTTAACTAGAGTGGCCATGGTGACACCAGTATAAAGTTGGGTGGCCAGGAGTGGATTTAACCACATGTAAAAATATGAAAATCACGTTCAAACAAGAGTACTAAATAAATGATTTGACTTTGTGTTTGTAGTTGTAATCGGTCGAGATATAAATTCTTGTAACATAACTTATAGAGATTCCTTAATATGTAATAGTTGTTAATATATTATGTGATTGTTAGTTATCGTATCATATTTTGTAATGTTATTTGGATATTTAGCTAAGGCACGTTGCTCACATCGTTTATAGATTTGAGATCGACAATGTTTGAATAACTTATGTATGGACTTCGCGTTGAAGACATTCATAGCTTTGTACTATTTGTGATGGTGCCCAATCGGAGAATAAAATCATGAGTTACAGTAAAGTTCTTTGTCGACACGTGTCTTATTTAAGTTCCCGTTTGATGATCATTGTTTTGAATAGTGATTTTTAAAAGAGTGTATGATTAAAAAGTAAGAAAAAAATACTGAGTCGACATGCAAAATATTTTATTATGTAATTGTGTGATTGAAAACGAGTATGAAAATTAAAATTTTAAAATAATGATGATCAAAAAAGATAAAATGCACAATTCCCCCTGTACAAGTGCCAAGGAGGAGACACTTGTCACCCTCCCCATTAAAA